AAAAAAAAAAAAAAAAAAAAAAAAAAAAATATATATATATATATATATATATATATGTTTTAAGTTAGCTGGGTGTGGTGGCATATGCCTGTAGTCCTAGCCCCTTAGGAGGCTGAGTCAAGAAAATTGCTTGAGCCCAGGAGTTGGAGACCAGCCTGCACCATATAGCAAGACCACATCTCCACAAAAAATAAAAATAAAAAAATTAGCCAGGTGTGATGGCATGCACCTGTAGTCCCAGCTACTTGGAAGGCTGAGTCAGAAGGATCACCTGAGCCCAGGAGGTTGAGGCTGTGGTGAGCAGTTGATTGTGCCACTGTACTCCAGCCTGGGCAACAGAGTGAGACTCCAATTCAAAGAGACAGAGAGAGAGAGAAGAAAAAGAAAGAAAGAAACTTCTGTAGTGAGCATCTAGGAAACACACCCTCCTGCAATGACCTTCCTCCCGCTATACCCACCATCATCACCATCTATGTTTTTGCCTTACCCCACTGTGCTCACCATGGCCATCTCTTAGCTCCTTACTGTTAAATCCAATGAGCATCTTGCTGCTCGTGATCTCTCAGCCACATCTGACTCTGCTCTTCTCTCTGACACATTCTCTCCCCTTGCCTTCTCTTACTCTTCCCCCATCTAAGTGCTCTGTCCCAGGGCTGATGTCTCTTTCTCTTCCACCCACTCCTTCCTTGTCGGTCTACTTGGGGTTCTAATCTGGTCCCATTTCCCACACCATGTACTCTTCCACAGCCATCTCATTTTTTCGCATGGTTTTGACCACCATCTATGCCCTGATGACACCCAAACCTCTACCTTGTGTCTACACTGGACTCATTCATTTGCCTACCGGGCGTCTCTACCAACGCTTCAATTCAACTTGTCTAGAACTAAGCTCCGTATCACCTTTCCCTGACATATCTGCTCTCCCTCCCACCCAGCCTTTGCACCCCTAAGCCTTCTCTTTCACACACCACTCGCTCACTCACTCATCCACTCTGTCCTCATCCCTTTTTTTTGGAGCTGGAACCTCGGCTTCCCAAAGTGTTGGGATTACAGTCTTGAGCCAACGCACCTGGCCTTCTGTTCTCATTCTTTAAGCAATGCCCTCCCTTCCCTCTCCTCAGCACAGTGCCTGGCCTCTAAAATTAATGCTTAGCACATAAATAAAAAATTATGTGCTAAGCATTTTGAGTGCCAGCTCCATGCCTAGACCCTAGCACACTATTTCTCCAGAGATTTAGGGTCTGCCAGAGGATTTTACACCTGCATTCCTACAGACTTTATCGGCTTTCTACTGTTCCCAAGTCTCCTCTAACACGTGCAAGAGTTCCCTAAGAAAAATGTGACTTTAAATCCTTATCAGTTGTCACCTTAGTCATTGGTTAACCAGTATCTACTAACATCTTGGCTTTAAATTAATCAGCTAACACTTGAGTAGTTAATATTTGATTATCTACTAACAGTTTAATTATCAGCTAACACTTGAGTAGTTAATATTTGATTATCTACTAACAGTTTAATTATCTTCTAACACCTTATTAATAAGCAAAATGCTTTATTAGGTTATATTTTAGGACTTAATAGTTTAACTATCTGCTACACCTTAATTATTAATCAGTATTTTAGTTACCCGCTTAAATCTTACGACAGCAGGGCTCGGTGGCTCAGCCTGTAATCCCGCATTTTTGGGAGGCTGAGGTGAGTGGATTGCCTGAGCCCGCGGGTTCAAGACCCGCCTGGGCAACTTGGCGAGACCTCATCTCTACAATAAATCAAAAATTAGCCGGATGTGGTAGCGCACGCCTATAGTTCCAGCTACTTGGAAGGCTGAGGCAGAAGGATCGCCGGAGCCCCCAGCAGGTCAAGGCTGCGGTGACCGGGAGCGGCCACTGCACTCCAGTCTGGGCGACAGTGAGACTCCAACTCAAAAAAAAAAAAAAAAAAAAAAAAATCTTACAACGGATCCCCTAGCTGTCTACTGTGTTGAGTAGATTATCAAGCCAGTGGCCACAAGATGGGGGTTTGGGGAGGCGGCCATCTCTGGCTATGGACATGATAAAGGTCAATGTCTTTTGCTGAGCTCACCTTTCACCCCAAATTATTCTCTTTCAACATCAACTAGCCCCAAGTTCTGAGAAAAAAGGAAGTCCCCCCTCCGAATTACTTATTTGCCTCTCTGAGCTAGGCCACAGGGTACTTTCTGGAACATTGTGACTGGGAGGGCCATCTCTTATCAACAAAATTTTTCTTTCTTTCTTTCTTTTTCTTTCTTTCTGTCTTTTC